ACAAACATCAGTCCACACGCCTCTCTATTCATTTCCCCAGAAAGTCACGCATAGAAGAGACAGTGGTGTAAAGTAACTGAGTACATTTACTCAAGTACTTTATTTGAGGTACTTTATTTGATACCTTTAGTTACTTTACAGATGTGGATGAATGATGTGAAATATAATCAAGTGTTAAATCAGACTTTAGTTCCACCTGGAGTAAATCCACAAGCTACCCTGCAGTATACAAAGTCATTCAAACTAGCTGCACCTTTACCAGCTTTGAGAACACTTTCATGATCAATCATTATAAAACATATCATATATATTATTCTGAAATGGACCAATCTGCACAATGACTACTTTTACTGTCGCTACTTTCACTATATTTTGATGAGAATACTTTTCTACTTTTACGTGAGGAACATTTTGAATGCAGTACTTTTACTGAAACAGAGTATTCCTACACTCTGGTACTTCTACTTTTACTCAAGTACAAGACCTGAGTACTTCTACTTTTACTCATGTACAATATCTGAGTACTTCTACTTTTACTCAAGTACAAGATCTGAGTACTTCTACTTTTACTCAAGTACAAGATCTGAGTACTTCTACTTTTACTCAAGTACAATATCTGAGTACTTCTACTTTTACTCAAGTACAAGATCTGAGTACTTCTACTTTTACTCAAGTACAATATCTGAGTACTTCTACTTTTACTCAAGTACAAGATCTGAGTACTTCTACTTTTACACACACACACACACACACACACACACACACACACACACACACACACACACACACACACACACACACACACACACACACACAAAGAAGAAAAAGCAGAGGCTGAAGGTGGCAAACAGATGAGAAGGAAGAGACATGGAGATAAAAGAGAGACAGGGACGAGGGGATGAGGTTCAGAGGAAGACAGTCCGGCACCCTTTGAAATATTCATCTGCTCCGGGTGAATAATTGATGGCGTACAGAAGACAGATGCATGAGGGATAGACGGTCAAATGGATGTAAAGAGGTTAGATAGATAGATAGATAGATAGAGAGAGAGGCGTCTCCGGGTAATAAAGGTACAAATCTCCTGTCACCAGAGGTGGGAGGTATTGGAGTACAAATACTTCCTTGCTGTACTAAAGTACATTTTTCTGGTATCAGTACTTTACTCCACTACTTATTTTTCTGACGACTTTTTACTTTTACTTCTTACATTTTCACAAATACCTGTACTTTCTACTTCTTACATGTTGAACCCAAATACCTGTACTTTCTACTTCTTACATTTTGAACCCAAATACCTGTACTTTCTACTTCTCACATGTTGAACACAAATACCTGTACTTTCTACTTCTTACATGTTGAACACAAATACCTGTACTTTCTACTTCTTACATTTTGAACACAAATACCTGTACTTTCTACTTCTTACATTTTGAACACAAATACCTGTACTTTCTACTTCTCACATTTCCCAAACAGGCTGGTTCCTTTAGTTTGAATGTGTGTTTGGTGGCGTGATCATTATTATTTAGAGTCATTGCGTGCCTATTGATTTGAACACGATCCGTGTATCCATCATTTCCTGGTCTTCTCTAAAGAAGAGGGACCAATGAAAACGTTGTCATGTTGCCGTTGTTCAGCATGGAAACATTCATTAGCTAACAATGACATTATTGTTCTATTAATATAAAGGGAGGTCAGGTACTCTTTAAAACAGCTGCTAGTTATGGGTACTTTTTACTGAAGTACATTTCAAAGCCCTCTTTACTTTCACTTGAGTAAAGAAGTTTAGTCAGTACTTCTACTTTTACCAGAGTATTTTTAAACACGAGTATCTGTACTGCTACTTGAGTAAAGGATGTTTGTACTGCAGCCATCTCTGCCTGTCACCACCATGACCATAAATCTCACCACATCACTTATTTTACCGTCCACTTCTGTCTCATGGAAAGTCTTTATTATAAACCTCTTTTTAAATTATATTCAACAACAAAGATTGCCAATCTAAAAACCACCTTGGATTAGTTCATTTAGCATTGGACTTTCCTGATGGGGCAAGTGGTAATACTGGTTTTATGTTAAATTGACCGGACTACTTTCTGCAGATTGATATGACTGCACATCCTCTGCTAAGATAAATGAGCAACCTCTCGAATGTCCAAATGAACCAATCAGAATCGAGTATACAACTATCTTTTGTACTAATGTGCTTTCATGGCTAGTGTTTGTGTGTCTGTGACCAAATCACACACTGGTTGTTCCCTGTTCCCCTAAGGCAGGGGTGGGGAACCTCCGGCCTCCGGGCCGTATACGGTCCGCGAGACCATTTGGTACGGCCCTCGAGGTAATTTATAAACACACGAAAAAAAAAGAAAAAAAAGAAAGAAATCTAGACCGCAAAAGAATTAAACAAGCGAGTGCCTGTTTTTCCTGGCTAAGGACAGGTTCCTTGAACACAACACGAGCGTAACGTGTCATCACGTGGTGTCTTGCTGACGGAGAGCACCAGAACATCGCTCCAGCACTTCAACAATTGCACTACAAATAAGGAGCCGTACACATGCCACAGTTTCTGCGTGGCTGTGTCTTTAGTTGTAAGCCCAGTGGCGATCTGCTCATCTGTCATACTGATCATACACTAACGCCATCAAAAATAATATGCTACATTACAGTGGAACTACTTCTGGGTCTTTAGCCGCTTTCACACCAAGTACTTTGCCGCACTTAGTGCCGGCACTTAGTGCCCCGGCACTTATTACCCCAGGGCACTTAGTACCAATCGCGTTCACACCGGAATAAGTCCCTGAGGGAAGATTACGCATTTACTTCTTCTTCTTCTGCTTTGGGTTTACTGGCAGGCCGCAAACCACTTCACGGCGTATACTGCCACCCGAAGTCCCCGGCCGGAAGTCCCCGGAGTTGGGGACTGGCTTCAGTAGAAGCTGCTGGGACTCCCAGCAGCTTCTACTGAAGCCTTCAGAGTAAATCGCCAGAACGCCGACACCTCCTCATCTCCACCGCTCCCATGTTTTATTTTGTGTTGCCATAAGTTAGTCTCTCAGCGTTTCTGCGCTGGGCTAATGCTAATGCTAATAATGCTAATGCGAGGATAATAAAATGGCGGATTCACAAAACCTTTTTGGAGTTTTACGGGGCGTGGTTTGCAATTCGCCCAGCCAATAGAAATTGGTACTTTGTTGGTACTTTTTTGGTACCACCTCTCAGCAGGCACTACAAATGGGGGTAAAAGTTCCCGGCACTAAGTACTCTTTTTGGTGTGAACGCAACCTAAGGGGTACTAACGGAACTAAACGGGAAAAGTACGGGGTAAAAGTACTCCGGTGTGAACGCGCCTTTTGTGTGTCATTCAAGCTCGGCTGTGTGTGTGTGTGGCACGAGCGCATTTTGTTTGAGCGAGCGAGAGAGAGAGAGCGGTACCGGAGATTGTTGTTATTAGCATCTGGTTAGCTAGCTATGCTAACAAATATAAGGAGCTGTTTCTACAACCAGGTGGAAGAGAGCTCTCTCCTGACAGACTGAGAGGCTGATAACCTCAGCTCAGTGAGGTAAAGACACACCTTCATATGATCATTATAGTTATACAAAAAATAAGAGAAAAAATGAAAAACAGGTATAAAATACTATACGACAGTAAAAAAAAAGTTGTTGGATAAAATATCCACAAAGAAAAATTAAATCTGCTTCCAGTTCTGATTCATATGGGTGTTGAGAGATGTATCCATAGATCTCCTAATGTTGCTCTCAAAGTGCACCAGATTGATGCTTTTAACTTCAATATGTAAGCATGCCCCCCGGACCCCCCTAGAGGAGGTTAGGTCCTCCCCAACTTAAATCATGTTCACATGGATAGCATACTTAATACATTTGCACACATCTTGTGTGTCAATGCGCGAGTCATGGTAAGATATCTGGATTCAGAGGTTGCTTTTTCTTTGCACAGCATGACAGAAAGGGGAAATGAATGGGCTGTGATTTTAGTATTTTTGATCAGACGTTGAGTTCAATAATTTGTACGGCCCTCAGAGGATGTTGTGAAAATTAAAATGGCCCCTGAGAGGAAAAAGGTTCCCCACCCCTGCCCTAAATGATTAACATATTGTACTTTCTGTTATATTTTACATCCCGAGTAATTGGACGTTACCACCAGTCTTTACCATCTTCTACATGGACATATCCTACTTTTCTCTGTTTTATATCAAAGTAAAGTGAATATCTTTGGGTTTTGGACTGACCAAACATGTTATTTAAAGATCTTTATACCTGTAATAAATAAGAATAAGAAATATAATTGTTGTTATTTACATTTGAACACAATGACACTTTCTCTCACTCCCTATTTTCGCCACCGCCTGTCTGAACGAGCAGACAAAGCCACCACTGACACTGGAGTGTGTACACACACACACACACACACACACACACACACATACACACACACACACACACACACACACACACAGTAACATACTGTCCAACCCGAGGCATGCTGCGATGTCCTCAGTGCCTGTGATGTGTGTGTGTGTGTGAGTGTGTGTGTGTGTGTGAGTGTGTGTGTGTGTGTGTGAGTGTGTGTGTGTGTGTGTGTTAGTTTGCATTTTCACCTTTTTCTCTCCCTCTGTGCAGTGGAATGGGATTTCTTTGATTGACAGGTGTGGCCCATGTTAACACACAGCGACAAATGTGATTATTACTACTGCCACATGAATATGTCATGTCAGCGTGGCCATGGACAACAGTAAAGTGTGTGTGTGTGTGTGTGTGTGTGTGTGTGTGTGTGTGTGTGTGTGTGTGTGTGTGTGTGTGTGTGTGTGTGTGTGTGTGTGTGTGTGTGTGTGTGTGTGTGTGTGTGGTGTGTGTGTGGTCGTGTGTGTGTGGTGTGTGTGTGTGTGTGTGTGTGTGTGTGTGTGTGTGTGTGTGTGTGTGTGTGTGTGTGTGTGTGTGTGTGTGTGCTAAACGTGTCTTTTCTGTGTTTTCCTCCTCAGGTTAACGGAGCTGTCAGGCTTGCTCTCAGACGGACCTGTAAACTATAAATACAAAACCAAATGCACGTGGCTGATAGAAGGATAGTAAGTGTTTTTATATCTATATCATCATTTATATGACTTTGTTTCACTTGGTTACACAGTGTGATGCGTCTTTGTTTGCAGCTCCATGTGAATAGCAGGTGTTTGTGTTATTATTGTGTTGCTTTGTTCACATGAACTACTCAGAGATGCTGCAGCTGAATGCACACAGAGATTACTATGCAATGTTATTTAAATCGTTCATTCTGTTCACTACGCCTGCTTGCACTAAATGTTAAATATACATTGGTATACAGCCTCATTGCAGGGAAGAACACGTTATCAATTATTCTAGTTACTCCTAGTTGTCTTGCATACTTCAGTTAGATTTGTTTATGAAGTCTGATGATTTTATTTACTTTATTTTTAGTGCCACATTAAGGGGTTAATTTAAGGATACGAAAGAGGATTAAGGCCGCGTGTAAAAACAGAGATGTGGAGATCTGACCAAAAGTGTTTTTTTATTTTATTCTTAAAAAAGCCTGAAAAAAAAAGAAAGAAATCTGATAAAAAAAAAGAAATTCAAGAATTAAATAAAATAAAAAATATGACATAATAAAAAATAAGCTAAAATTGGAGAAACATTTTAAGAATTCAGAAAAAAATCAACAAAAAATGCAAGAATTCTGAAAATAAATCAGAATACAAAAAAGTCAAAAATCTGAAAAACGTTATGAATCTGAAATATGTCAAAATAAAAAAAGGAGATTTCTGAAAAAAGTCTGGATTCTGAAAAAAAAATCTGAATAGAAAAATAATTCTGAAAAAAGTCAGATTTCTGCAAAAAGACAGGATAAAAAAAAAGAACTCAAAATCTGAAAAAAATATATAATTCTGAAAAAAAAAGTCATATCAAAATAGTGGATATAAATAAAAAACTACAATAATATATAAAATGAAATCATGAATACATAAAATATAATAACATAGTAAAATCTTGCTGGGATGCTCATTGGTTTTCTAATGCACTGAGTGTCAATGTGTGATCATAACCAGAAGTACGAATGACACGAGGCCATGTATTATATATTCATCAAATGCATTTCTGATTATCCCTTTATGTTCTCTCTCTCAGTCCTAATGCAGTGCTCCGGCTGCGCTTCAATCATTTTGCCACCGAGTGCAGCTGGGACCACATGTACGTCTATGACGGAGACTCGATCTACGCCCCTCTGATTGCCGTCTTCAGGTGAGAGCTGTCTGTCACTCTGAATAACAGCTGGAGAAATATGGAAATGCCTCACAGTCTGCAACACATCACTCAGGAAGTCAAATGATTCACGGTGGAGGCAAACAATGAGCTTCACAATCACCCACAAAACAACGATAAAATATATTTGCAATTAGCCGTGAATAATACATCTTTCCGGGGCATTATTGTGTACGTTCAATAATCTACAAGCATGTGGGTGGACCTCTTTCATCTGACGGAAACTCATTAAAAAGATGTTAATGCCACAATAATTCACCAACCTGCCATTTTTTACTCGGCTCAACAGAGACTTGAAGCACGGATACGAAAGAGGATTAAGGCCACGTGTAAAAGTGAAATGTGGAGATCTGACCACACGTGTTTTTTTACGTTATTCTTAAAATTAAAGTCATATTTGTGCGATTAATGACAGAATTCGGAAAAAGCCTGAATACAAAAAAAAAGAGAGAGACAGAATTCTGACAAAAGACAGAATAACAGCACCCTATCTTTTGAAGCTCACATCAACAACATTACTCGATCTGCCTACTTCCACCTCCGCAATATTAACCGTCTCCGCCCGCCACTCACACCCAACAGCACCGCCATCCTCATCCACGCCCTCGTTACATCCCGTATTGATTATTGCAACTCCATCCTCTCTGGTCTTCCTCACAAATCCCTGCGTAAGCTCCAGCTGGTCCAAAACTCAGCCGCCCGTATCATTACCAGAACTCCTTCCATTGATCGTATCACTCCGGTTCTCCAACAACTCCATTGGCTCCCCGTTAAATACCACATCGACTTCACTTCAGGACCGTTGCTCCTCACCTTCAAGGCCCTTCACACTCTTGCACCTCCATATCTCTCTGAACTCCTTCACACCTACACTCCCTCTCGTGCCCTCCGATCCTCCGCTGCCTTGTAACTCACTGAGCCTTCAGCCACTCTGCCCCCCCCGTCTCTGGAACTCTCTCCCACAAGACATCCGCAATATGGACTCACTCTCAACCTTCAAATCCTGCCTGGAAACCCACTTTTTGAAACTGGCGTATTCAATATCATAATTCCTCTAAACTGATTGTTGTTTTTAAGTCTTTGTTTTTTAAGTCTTGAAGGACTGTTTGCCCTTCTTTGTTGCTTGTTTTTAATTATTGAGAGCTTTGAAAGGCGCCCATAAATAAAATGCATTATTATTATTATAAGAAAAAGTCAAAATTCTGAAAA